ACTGGTTTAGATGGGTTTTATTCCATTTACCCGTTCCATCTATTTCTCCAAAAAGCCACCTATGTTTGCAAGGATGATAGTCTTTCAGGGGACTTTTGTTAGGTTCGATATTGGTGCCGGCTATCTAGCAGCTCCTCTATTGCTCCCGACTTCGATGCGCTTCAGCCGATGGAATGATGTGTTTCTTTGCGCTTTGGGCTTTTTTCCGTCCAAGCCAGAGGCCTTAACCCTTCCTTGTGCTCAGTTTCTTCGATGCGGTGCTTGTGCAATGCTTTGAGCTTTGAGAGAAGGAGCCTCGCTTCCTTTGGCATCAGGAGGAGTTGTTGCAGCTCCTGGAGCTGCACAAGCAGCGCATGAACAGCTCCATGAACAGCTCCTGGGGCTCCTCCTCCTCCTCCTCCTCCTCCAGCTATGCCAAGTTCGCCAGCTCGTGCTACGGCTCTCTGACCCGAGTTGGTCCTTGGGCGGTTTTTGAGATAGACGCCAAAACAAACGAGTTCTTGGAAGTCGTGAGGGACGGAACAAGTGCGCGTGCCTGGGGATTTGCCTCAGTTTGGGGGAAGGGTTCGAGTGGAAAGCGGGGTTGAGAGATGGAGGCGAGGTTAGTTTAGGTTGTGATGGACCTGGTGTTGGTTGCATGGGAGGTGAGACATGAAAGAAGTCCCGAGCCCGTGTGTGTGATTTGGACTCGGGTCCAATGAACACACATTGGGACGCGGTGTGAGCAAGAGGTGCGTCGTCAAATTTGCGTCGTCAAATGTGGGATGACCTTTTCTGGTTGTTGGAAAGGGACGCATCCAGGGGTGATTGACCCCGGTTCGGCGAATGTGAGAGGGGATCTCACCCGCGGCTCGCGTGTCCTGGAAGTTGCTTGCTGGACGGTGACTATTTCTGTCTTCACCCGTACATACCATCGTATGCACACACACATATCAAACAACGCGCAGCACGATGGTCAGAGCGGTACGCAAAGATCAATGCTGCGCAGCAATACGCAACATACGGGGTACTGATTTGAGTGCTGTCGCGTGTCTTATGTCGGCTTTGTTTGCGGAGCTTCTCCTGCACTGTTTTGTCCACTGCTTTGTGCTTTGTTTTGTGGATTGTTTCGCGGCTTTTTTTTCATTGTTGTGCGAATTGTGTTGTGTTTTGCTGTTATTGTCCTGTGTACTGTTTTGCATAGTGCTGTTCTTGTGTGCTGTTCTTGTGTGCTGTTCTTGTGTGCTGTTCTTGTGTGCTGTTCTTGTGTGCTGTTCTTGTGTGCTGTTCTTGTGTGCTGTTCTTGTGTGCTGTTCTTGTGTGGTGTTCGTGTGCATGTGTGTGTGTGCTGTTTTGTTTGTGGTAATTGTATGAGCATTGTACTCTATTGTGTACTGTGCGCTGTATGGTTCTGTGCATTGTTGCATACTGCTTCTTTGTATTCCTTCTTGCGTTGTGCTGCACGATGCATCACACAACAGTGCAGAGGGTAGGACGCCACACGAAACCATGAACGAAACACTCAGGGTCACCGGGCCAAACAAACCATTTGGCACATTGCAAGGAGAAAGCCCATTCCTGTGATCCGCAGGCTTCACTGGCGGCACTTGCACCTTTGCCAGCTGCAACAGCGACCGCATGGCCGTGTGCAGCAGTGGGAAGTGCGCCAGGGCCTCAGGGGCCCGGGACGCTTCTGAGGTTGGTGGGAAACCGAATGTATCTGCATAATTTATGGCAAGCTCACCGGGGGGGGGGTATGGTGAGCGCACCATGAAAAAAAACCTTTTACCTAGGGATCCCTTAGTTCGGTTGTTGGAAGTACAGTTAAATTTTGCATATGTATGTGTTCATTGTGGCAGTTTACCATTCCCGTGTTTTTCTGGATATCTTCATGGTAGGGGTAGTTGACAGACCTCGGTTTAAAATTGGTATTTTTAAATCTTGACAATGAACACGAATTTGATGAGTTCTTCCAGTACTTAATCTACAACTAACCAATGAAATATAATGTGTTTTACGGGTGGCTTGGAGAGGGGAGTTGGGAAGACGGAACCAACCACCTTATTTGGGTTTTGGGGTCTGGATTGCAGGACCCTTTTGACTTCGAAGATACCCAGAGTAGAAATGCAACAGTATGTGAGGGGTGCCAGACTGCTACATTTCCATCTATGTTTTGTGCCTGTTTCATGCCTAGTTCCACGAGTGAATGGGACTTGTTCGGAGGACTGAACGGTCAAGGAATCTGCAAAAAGTACGAACTTGCAAAATGCACCAACTATTCGGTCACGGTTGCGCTAGTTGCCTGGTGTTTCCGGAGGAGTCACTGTCAAAAACGTTGGATTTTTGCTCATTTCGCTCGCAGCGTGGCAGGCATCAACCTGCAAAACTACTTCGTTCGGCTAGCTGCGCAAGAATTTCGGCAATGCCCCCAACAAAGCATTAGGCGAAGCAGTTCCCAAACTTCGTCTCCACACGAATTGGTAAGTTCATTGTTTCAAATGAATATTCACATCCGAACTCTTGTCACACCAACATTTGCGGTGGAGCTGCGGAGTAAGAAAGCTTTCAATGACTGCCATTCACGATCAATCAATTGAGTTCCATGAATCTTGGACAACTTGGAACTTCTGACATCATCTAAGTGTCTACAGAATTCTTTTCGTTGGTGGCTCACCTGATGAATGTTTGTCACCTTCAGGATGCGAGCTGCCTTTGGCCAACACAATGCACCATCATGCCAGAAACACCGTGTTTGCTGGCACAATTCAACAAGCCACTGGTCTGTACATCTTCCCAGGACTCAACTGGGCCAGGGTCAGCAGACATCCCTACCAAGCTGTGAAAAGAAAAGCAACCGAATGTAATCATCCCCCCCCACCCCCCAGGAGTCATATTTAGCGCTCTGCTGGGCTGGTCGCAGCTAAAGCGGGCGGCCTGTGGCGAGATTGCAAGAGATTCCATTTCAATGCCGGAATCTGTTCAGAGGAATTCCACCCACTTCTGGTCAAAGCATAGAGATTGGCAGAACGCCCTTGGTGGAACATGTTCCTTGCGGGGCAATGTCCAGATGGGTCGTTGCGGCCTTGGGCTCACTCGCTCAGATGTGCCCGAATGGGTGCACCGGTGCCGATGGCAGGCCTGGCAGAGCCCGTGTCGTCCTGGTGCTTGGTTGAATCTGATGGTTCTCCACACCTTACTCGAAAGCTTCGACTCTTGCTTAGGGGGCTCTCAGCCCAAGGCTAACTTGGGTTATGAGACACAACGCTTGCGCATATCTTTTGCGAACTCCATGCTTGGTGAGATCAGCATGTTGAGGAGTAGAGCACAAGCTCCAAAATAAATAATGTCGCACAGAGACATGTTCATGACCTTCGCTTTTTGTTAGCGTTTTGCGGTGTTCCGTGGCCCAAATACCCGCAGAGCGAAGGCAAGATATGTGGGGGGAAAGAAGTCAAGCTATGTGTGCGAACCGGGGGCAAGCTCGTCAGCTTGCACATGTCCTGTTTTGTTGTTGCCAAACGGGTTGAGAAAGACGCAGTTGCACAAATACTGTATGTTACCTGCTTTCCCTTGAGTTGCTTTGATTGTGGCACTCGCCTTTGAAACCCCTTGTGTGCTGGGAGTGACTTGCCTGAGGACCAAGAAAGCTTTGTCAACAAATTTCAACTAAGTGAACAGCTCAGACAGCTCAACTTGGTCTTTGGCGCGGCCCTGCGTCTTGTTCTCTCGGGCTGAGACACATCGCAGTGAATTGGAGCCCCCGTCGGTTTGTTTTGGCTCACGCTGTTAGCGGCCCAGGGAATGTGCTAATTTTGCCAAACTGCCCAAACTGATAATGTCCCCGTCTACTGTATTCACGACTGGAACCACACGTGCCCAACATAATAACGCCCCCGCTCTATTGTATGCGCGACCAGGGATCACACACACACACATGCCCCGAGCTGATACTGCCCCACGACCGAGACCACACGCATGCCCAAGCTGGTACTGTTCCCGTTCTATTGTATCCACGACCAGCTCCAATAGAAATTAGCCACGAACATGTTGATTCATGCTAAATGAGTGCAGAAAAGTGCTGGAATGGTTGCTGATTTGAGTGGACAACATTCCTGAAAAAGTGCGAAAATAGGCAGCCGCTCATGGCGATGTGACCTTGTTTTTGAGCGGGCTGCTGGAGTTTTTGGTGAGAATCAATTGGGATAGTTGAAGATTGAAGATATTGGCCGAGTGCTGGCTGGCACAGGTGCTATCACACGCCGAACATGCTGGTCAGCACCAGATTTACCCTCACAAACGTGGCTTGCTGGCAGCGATGCCACCAAGGGAGATTGGGATGGATCTGGGCAAATTGTGGTGACTTCACAAAACGTGGCTTTTTGGATGCTTAAGTTGCAAGAGGCATGGCATCCAATATACGAGGAAGTTATGGTTTGACTTCTCGCCGGGGGGGGGGGCTAGGATTGGGACAGGTATGGATGACGATTTCTTGGCGTGGGAACCGTGGCCGTAGCGTGGCCATCTCCAAGCGATGAAAACAAAGAGTGGACCAACTCGCGTGGCGCAAGATGTGGAAGTCCCACTGCAAGCGAGAAGTTGAGACTTCCCACATGTTGTAGCGCAGCTTGTGGTGGGTTTGCTTAGTGGGAAAATCGGTTGAGTGGACAAAAGATGCCTTGCATTAAAATGGAGTGGAGTTTTGGGGGTGTTCAGTTCTATCGGATTTTGCAATTGACAGCTGATCGCAGGTATACTGGCCAAGCTACAAGATGTACTTCCAGCGCCCCTTGGCTGTGATTTGCCTTGTTCTCATGTGGCAGCACACTGGCGCCTGCAATGTTTCCACTCACAACATCGGTGCCACAGTGCCACTAGACAGATGCTGTTTTTCCATAGCACCTTACGCCCTCTTCAAGCTTCAACCTTTGCCGCCCTGGCGCGAACGGATGACGCTACCCTCACAGAGCACTACCTTCAGGGAGAGGTTCTGAGTTTTCCCACGTACACACGGACAGGGGAGGGCCAAGCCTCGTTTTGCCGTGGCTCGCGGCTCATCACGTTCCCACTCCGCGGGCCGTGGATTTTTTTGGTGCTTCCCCGCCCGGTACCTTGACAAACCGGTTGTTTGCGCAGCCAGTTTCTCTCGTTTGTCATTTGCAGCCGAAAGATGATCTAGATTATTGTTGCGCGCGTTTTCAAACCAATGTCAAATGTCAAGTATGTTCACTCCTTTGCAAAGGTCAGATCAATCGGCACTTGCTGAACCCCGCCTTCCCTCATGGAAACTCTCTGGACTGGACCCCACCCCAGTATGGCGTTCGTTCGGGCAAGGCATCACCACCTTTGGTCAGATGAGCACCTCCAACATGCCCAGCTTTTCCTTCATGGGCTCGGATGAATTTGACCTGTACCGGGTGCCAGGCAGGTCAGGGGCAGGCGGCTAGAAGAAGTTGGAAGATTTGGCTGGGCCAAATGGTTGGCAACGCGGCTCTCACGTTGATCATACCTGAAAATGTTGTGAGGTCCGTGTGTCAAACTTGGGCCTTTACGTTGGCCGGACCTGGGCAGATGCTGGGCCCATTCTTCCAACGAGCCGGGTTTAGCGCAATTGTTTGGCTTCTCTTTGCGCAGATGCTTGATCCTGACATGTCTTGGTCAAACTTGCCCCTTGGCCGAATAAATGGTTTCTTCCTTCGCGAGTATGAGTAGGCAAACAAAGTTGGCGCGCGTTTGGTACTTGTTCGAAGGGCCGATCTTGAACTGCAACGAGTGGAGCTTCGGCGGTGGAAAGAAAGCCCCTTTGACCAATTGGAAGTAGTTGATGAATTGACAGGTTGACGCTATTCGAGCTGAGCATGTGTGTTTGTGCTGGGTGTTTTGATCAGAACTGAAGATTTCGAGCCAGTGCTTGACTCAAGAGGGCTCTGTCACTTTTGGGCGAACCCTCCTGTAGCATGTGATCCGGTCGGCATGCCATAGAACTTGATGTGATCAATTGCAGTTGGCTGGCAGGACTCTTCAACGGCAAAGCGCTGTTCATGATTGCATCGCACAAGTGGCCAACCTATGTGCTGGAGTCTTGGCGAGAAATGCCATGGGCCGACCCGAGAAGCTATTTGAGAGTGTGCAATTACTCAGTCTTCATGTTGACGCCATGAAACCCGGCCCATTTGCTTTGACATTCTGGCAACACATGCGTGACAGAAGAATGGAGAAACAGACCGCGCCTGAATTCGCAGGTACGTGTCGTATGTACAAGATCATGCAAGATGTATTCACACGTCATCGTATTTTGATGCATAGATATGTCATGGTGTGTCTCCAAAACGCACCCCCCCCATTCAACCCCTTGGCATCTTTGAGGGCAGGATCCTTTTGGACGTGCTCATTTTCGAAAGGAGATCGTTTGTCCACTCGTTCACTCTCGGTTTTGCGCCTGCAATGCGTCCAAAGGTTTCGGCCATCCTTTGGTGGATGTTGTGGAGCGTCACAGGGCTTTGAATCCTCCCCCCCCCACCCACCCAAAAGGCTGCGCAAGCCAGACGCCAGGGGCTTCACCACTGGGTGAATGGATTTGCTGACGCCAGGGGCTACCAAGACAGAAACATTCTTTCGGGGTCAGCCCACTTCCCAAAACAAACCAACACGCGTTTTTTCTCGCAGCTGTTTTGCAGCGCTTAAGCACGAACACCATCCTATCTTTTTGTTGTTGCAGCCTTTCAAGTCGGGTAGTCATCCCATTTGGTTTTTGGTCACCTGCCATTCTGACCAATTCCGAAGATTGGTCCATCCTCACAAACGGCCAACCAGGGTCGCCTTGTAAACAAACAACTTGGAGGGAATCTGGGCCAACGCAGGCCCCGAGATCCTCAACTTGCCGCGCCCATTCAGCCGCCCGAGGCGATCCGCGCCACCACGGGCACGGCCTTCAGCCCCTTCGGCACCTACTCGGTGGAGCTCAAGGACACCTCCGCGCCCTGGAAACCCGCGCCCGGGCTTCGGTTTGGGCGGGGGGCGGGGGTGGGGCGGGGGGGGTGGGGCGGGGGGTCCACTTCTGCGGTGGAGCTGTTGTTTTGTGGAGGCGACAGGGCCTTCTCACGAAAGGTGGGGGCCCTTAGGCGGTTACCTTGAGTACTTTCCAAATGTTTTGACTTTCAAAGTGGGGGCATGTATGTATTATTTGCCCTGGTGTTGTTCTTCTTGTTGCTGCTGCTGCTGCTGCTGCTGCTGCTGCTGCTGTTGTTGTTGTTGTTGTTGTTGTTGTTGTTGTTGTTGTTGTTGTTGTTGTTGTTGTTGTTGTTGTTGTTGTTTGTTGTTGTTGTTGTTGTTGTTGTTGTTGTTGTTGTTGTTGTTGTTGTTGTTGTTGTTGTTGTTGTTGTTGTTGTGGCCGTCGTCGTCGTCGTCGTCGTCGTCGTTGCGGCGTCGTCGTTGTTGTTGTTGTTGTTGTTGTTGTTGTTGTTGTTGTTGTTGTTGTTGTTGTTGTTGTTGTTGTTGTGGTGTTGTTGTTGTTGTTGTTGTTGT